TATATATATATATATATATACTTGATGAGTAGTATTTCGAGCCAAAACGAGCCGAACACGAACGAACACATCTTAGTTCGTGTTTGGCTCGTTAACTTATCGAACGAAATTAATGAGCCGAACACGAGCTTCTTAACGAGTCGAACACGAGCTGTTCGCAAACGAGCCGTTTTGACAGCCCTATGCGCGATATAAGGTATTATGGAAGAATTATTTCCATGATATTAAAGACGTGTATATTTAAAAAACTAACATCTATTTCAAAAAAATTAACTATGAAACCCGTGTATTTCTCTTAGGATTAAATTAATAGGTATTTGATGAGTGCGAAGAGTGTAAGTTGAGATAAGATTTTGTTGTCTCATTTAGAATTTGGGTGGTAATGTTAATTAAGGAGGTAATTTTGTAAATATGTAAAATTTTGATTGTAAACATTGCATTGCTCGCTTTTTTTTTTTTCCTTAGGAGATCCAAGACTCTTAAAATTTACATGCATGCCACTTAATTCCTATATATTTACATATTTAACACTTACACTTCAATTTTTACATACATACCACCTTTTTCATACAAGAAAAATGTGTGTTTAATTTTTTTTTAAAGATAAAATGAGGATAGTTTTCATGCAATGTAGAAATTTTTGGTGCTATAAATGTGAAAAAAACAAAATGTTTGTGTTAGATATATAAACACATAGGAATTGGGTGGTATGTATGTAAATGTCCCTTTAATATTTTGGCATGTATGGTATGAGCAAACCACATAGTAAAATTTATTCAAAATTGGTGCATTTTATGTTAATCTATGTAGGGGTGGATAGGGGTGTAAACGAGCCGAACACGAGAGAGCCCAGGCTCAGCTCGTGTTCGGCTCGTTTTTATTTTTGGCTTTTTATATTTCGAGCTCAAAATGTGTGTTTGTGTTCAACTCGTTTGCTTAACAAGCCGGACACGAACCATTCACGAACAAAGAGTCATTTTGACAACCCTAATCACGTAGCCATCAGATGTTAAAGATTGGGACAAGATTTAAAACATCATTTGAATCTAATTTAATAATTTTTATTATATTTTCTTCATTAATACTTTTAATTGATTCCAAATCTTTGTAGCCTTGTAGTCAATTAAAATTTAAAAAAAGAGTAATCATCAAAGATATATATATAATTGATTAGTAGTATTTCAAGTCAAAACGAGCCGAACACGAACGAACAAATATTGGTTCGTGTTCGGCTCGTTAACTTAGCGAACAAGCCGAACACGAGCTGTTCGCGAACAACGAGCCGTTTTGACAGCCCCAGGGGTGGAAGCATTCAAATTCAGTCGCATCTATACCCTCTTTGAATTTATGTATATGAAATAATATCTTGAGTATTACATAGGGTGCTATTTTTTTGACTTAACAATAGTAATAGTACAATTTGATGTCATGCTATAAATGCATTGAAATATTAACCTAAGCTAAGTAGCATACTCATGTTGTTGTGATCCGGGAATCATTAAGAAAATTAGTATGTTTTCTGTGTGCATGAGGGAAAATTTTATATTGAATCTTTTTATGTTGTAAAGTCTCGTATTGTTTTTGAGTACATATAACTCGGTAAAATCCTATTTTTAGAAGGAAGGGGGAAGAAAGAGTCCCAATTTTTATCTCTTAAGTATGAACCTTTGGTAAGTCGGAAAAAATGGCTCTTATGAGGTTTCTTGGATCACAATGTTTCCAAGAGAGAGAGAGAGAGAGAGATAGAGAGAGAGAGAGCCCCTCTTTTGTCTCTTGACTTTTATACATAGAGGAGAAGAAAGTAAAAAATATATTTCGTGTAGCATTGTGTACATCCGTGATGTCTCGGTGAAAAGATTGTAACGTGGGTGTCAGGCAACGCTTGAAAGAAGAATGGACTTAACGTTCTTGCAAATAATGATGTTCATCTAATGATAGTTGTCCCTTCTTAGATATGCTAGGTTGCCTCTGTGGGAGAGATTAATCTTGGTGCTTTATGCTTCAACAAGTGAACTCAATTCAGCCACTTCGATGAATTGACTCGTTTCAGCCACTTTAAGGTGGGCTTAGTTCAATCACTTTGGCAGGTAAGCTCAGTTCGCAAAAACAATCTCATATCGCAACTTGCGCGACGCATTGGCCTCCACATCAAACTCCATATAAAAAAAACTCTACTTAGGTATATAGTCATATTTCTTTATACTAAATAATAGCACTTTTCGAAAAAAATTTTTTTTTTGAACCATCAGTTTGATCTTTCCTTCATTGACATGAATAAAATTAAGACAAATTACATAATAATGTCAAGTCTTTTTGGATTTACCTATATCCCACTAAAAGTTTCATTTTTACACACAACAGTTTATCTATGGATGCAAAGATGAATTTTAGTATCAAAAGGTCAAAATGAGAGCTACTTTTTATATAATGTATATAATCATAAAAGTTAGTTTTAGTGTGAGATAAATAAATATGAAATATTTGGTAAAAGCCCCAAATATTAAATGAACATTATGAGAGAAAGGATGAGAGTTATTATGAGGCTAGACACCAGAATAGAAATGATAGGAATAAGACGTAGTGTAAGAAAACATAAGAAAAATACTCTATAAACAGTCCTAATATTTGTTCAATTAAATGTTCCAAAGTTATTATGAGGTTAGACACCAAAATGACACAAATTGTTGGGAATAGACATAGGTTTACTGTGCTAAATGTAGATTATGAGGTTAGACACCAAAATGACACAAATTGTTGGGAATAGATATATTTTTGGAATTTGTATAACAATAAATGTAGTCCACGACTTGTTAACGGGTTTGAAGGAACGCTAAATGCATTATAATTAAGAAATAAATAATGTTTAAGTGTTAGATATGTAAATAGAAAAAAAATTGGGTCTTATTTAAGCAGCAACAACAACACAGCCTTAATCCCACTACTTGGAGTATCCCGCTACGTGGGCCTTAAAGGATTCATGTCATGATTTTTTTTCGACAAGTTTTACGTTGGCTGTCGACTATCTAACGCAACCCTTCACTTTTCGCAGTCGGGCTTGGGACCGGCAACGGCAGTGTTAAATGGCTCATAAATATATAAGAATCGTGTAGTATGTAGGTAAATGCAAAATTATTATGCCCCAAAGAATTCCCAATTTTATCACTTAAACAGCATTAAAAAAACCAAATTCGTTCTTATCCTCGCCAGGGATTCAAAATTTGGCTCGGATTGAAATAAATAAGCCCGAGTTATAAGTCGAAACTTGGATCAAACTTTATTCGAGCCGATTTCTTGTCATACATGGATCGACTCGAACTGACTCGAGATCGGCTCATAGTATTTTTTATTTATAAAAATCATATATATAATGTTTAAGTAAAATTGAATATACCGATTCAATCGAATTTCAAACTGGAATGGATCCAAAGAACTCAAATTCAGCTAGTTAATATTAGTTTTAAGCCGAACCGAGTGGATTCCGACCTGAAAGGAATCCAAATAATTCAATTTGAGCCAGCTCATGCCGATTTTGATTCGCATTGAGCTTGATTCAATTTCATGCCAGCTCATCTAGAAATCAAATAAAATGACCCACGAGTTGATTTCTAGTCGCACTAAGGGATTGTTTTGGTTGCAAGTATGATTTAGTTTGAATATAATTTAGTAAATCCTATAAATCCGGATTTATGAAAACTTGAGGGGTTTAAATCCTAAATATTATTCGATATGTTACTAGATAAATCCTAATAAATTCGGAAAAAACTATTTGACAACTTTAATATGATTTATTAAATCTCTCTCTTCTCACGAGCTTCAAATTCTCTAAATCCTGTAAATCCCCACTTTCTACGGGATTGATCCAATCCTGGATTTAAGGCGAAATGGGATTTAAGAACCTGTAGGATTTACGCATCCGTTTTTGCCATTTGGCAGGATTTAGCATAAACCGTCTAAAAGCGGCTACCAAACAACCCCTAAATCTATTCGAGCAGGACGATTTCCATCTCGACTCGAAATAAGATCGTTAAGGGCCCTAATCCTCACATCCCTTTCCCCAACTAATCGGAATCATCTAAACCTTGATCAGGTCAACAGGTAGACACGCCAGCCAGCGAATACCAAACAGGTTATCTTGACCCGATACGCCCTGTTCGAAGATCAAAATCTCGTTCCCCAGTCCCCACAACATAAAAAAAAATTAGCGCAAGTCTGGAGAAGGAAACAGAAGAAAGAGACGAAACAGAGGCCGAGGAAATCCTTCGATCTATGAAGACAGAGAAAGAGAAAGACATAGAAGCAGATGAGAGAGATGAGTCGCCATTGACCACATCATCGAAAGAAACGAAGTCTTCCACGTGAGGAAGAAGACGCCATTTTTGATAAACCAGATAAGAACATTCAGATTCAGGTGCTGAGTTCTCCCTCCCTCTCTCCTAACTTTTTGATGGATTCGTGCAGCCATGATCTGTTCGATGTGGATTTGAGTTCTTGGGTGAGTTAAAGATCCGATTTTTAATCGTTCTACTATGTTTCATGAATTAGTTCTGATTCAAATCTCACTTTCTCTCTCTCTTTGGGCTATTCGTTGATATCAAGATTTGCGTTTGAATGGTTCAAGATTGAGTTTTTGTGTTGGCTTTGATGGATTTATAGTATTTGAAGATTGAAAGATCGGATTTTTGAATGTGGCGATTGGCAAAAGTGGCAATTTTTTGTCAAATTATGTTCAATTTGGATACTAAGTTTTTTTTTTTTAAATTCTATTATTGCTAATGCTGCTGTTTTAATGCCCCCATTATTCCTCATTTAACTATCTCTCTCTCTCTCTATCTCTTTCTATCTCTTTTCATATTTCTTGTTTTCAACAGTAACTGATTCATAGCTGAGGAGCAGAAATCTTTCATCTTGCTTTGCAAAGGGGAAGCAGAGGATGTCTGTAAAGTCACTATGGAGTGATAAAATAAGAAAGGTATTGATGACGCTTTGCTTCCCCTTTAATCTTTTTTTCTTCTTTTGTGTAAATGCATTATGTAAAATTCACCTTACCATATGTCAAAAAAAAAAAAGGATATTAGTCCTTAAACTCACTTTAGAATAAATTTCAAAATTATAGATTTGCTCTGAGACAAATATAATGTAATTTGCATTTGATTACTCATATATTGAATATTAAATTTTGATCAAAACTGCTGATTTGATCCTTATTCGTACTAAAAAGTGATCATTTGTCTCTGTTCGGAGAAATTTCATTTTTTTAATTTATTTTCTTTGAAGGGTTGATTTTGTTATTTTTGGTATTTATTGCAGTCTTTTGCAGCAAAAAAATTAGAGAAGAAAGGCAAGAGGTCATTTGAGGCAAGCGAGTTGCCACCAGAGCTTCACGGTTGGTTTTCATAATATCTTTTGATGGCTTTATGACTTTTTGCATGTGAGTGAATTGATTGGTTTTTTTGCATTTTCATTAAAGTGTGAAATTGTGTAATTTTTTTTTTCTAGTTTTATTTTGCAAATTACTACCATATTTTTTTTTGGTTTTATTTAATTTTTTGCTATTTTTTTAGTACTTTGATAAGGGATATTTTGCTGTCTTAATTTATTTATTTAGAAAAAAAAATCAAAATTACTCACAAAAAAAATATATATTTTTTTTTCACAACAGTTTCATAAATATTTTTAAAAATCTCATAAAAATTCTAAAATGAAGCTAAATGAAAGCAACTTTATATATAACTCTTAAAACATTTTATATTTACATTAATGACATTTTAATGTCATAAACTTATGCATGAAGAAGGTTTGCCTCACTTTTACTTTGTATTTATTAATTGTTGCCCTTTATGATGATTTAATGAGTATTTGACTTCAGTTAAGTCCCTCTTAATTTTGTGTGTCAAATCTTATTCCAAAAGAGGGCGGTTAGTTATACTTAAGACACTAAGGATCTATTTGGGGTGGCGGTGTGGCGCCGCACCACAACTTTTCCTACGTTCTAAAAAAAACTACGGCTAAAAGCTGTGTTTTTTAACCAAACATGACAACACGCGGCGACTACTAGAAAACTGAAGTCTGACTTTAACCAAAAAAAAAAAAAAAAAAAAAAAAAAAATCGTAATAGTCACCACAACTTTTTGAATAAAAGCTTCTTTTCAGTAGCTCCACATGTGCTTCTTCAAACAGCTACAGCTTCCCCGAACGAATCAAGGAAGCTTTACATACATACCAGTCAATTCATATGTATTTACACATCTAACACCTAAACATAATTTTTTACATATCTGTCATCTTGCCTATGAATGAAAAAGGTGTATTTTACTTTTGAAAGTTATATAGTGATATTTTTTATTTGATGTAAAAGATTTGAATAGCATGAATGCAAAAAAGAGGGCTTTTGTTGAAAATTCTCTAATTTCATAAAATTAATAAGACTAATTATTTTATTTACCCACTTCTGTTGAAAACTAGGCAAAGAGGACTCCTCTGCACGGATAAGCAGTTCTACTCCACATTTCTCGAGTCCAGTGTCAGACATCTTTGATTCTCAGAATTTCAGGTATCAGTACAGTGTTCCATCTAAATTCTAATCTAAATTATTAAGATTTTATTTATATTTTTTATCTGAAAAAATATATTTTTTTTGAATTTCTATATATTTATCCAAAGGATTTTTGCTTCAACCTGGAATGTGGGAGGAAACTCTCCTCATATTGGTCTGAACTTGAATGAGTTTCTTCCTCTTGATGATGAATCTGATATTTATGTTTTAGGGTAAGTATTGCTACTGATATATTTAATTATGGTTCTGTAATGCTTTAAAAGTTCTGCGGCATTTGCATACAAACCACACAATTCATTATATTTACACATCTAACAGCTGAAGTTTGCTTTTTTTACATTTGTAGCATCCAAATCTTCCGTATCACATCAAAAGTATCAATGTTTTAACTTTTAAAAAGTGAAGGACACCTTTTCATGTATAAGTTGGGTGGCATATATATGTAAAAATTGACATGTAGTGTTATGTTTAGTGCTGAAGCATAAATTTTAATGCAGGCTTTGAGTTAAAACACAGAAATCTATCTATGAACAAATTAAACCCTGAACCTTCATCTTCTTTCTCCTCTTGCAACACACGATGTTCCACACTCCTAATCAATACAACTTAATTCCCTACATGTCTGTTTCAGCTTCCAGGAAATTGTTCCTCTAAATGCTGGTAATGTGTTGGTATCAGAAGACAACGAGCCGGCATCGAAATGGCTCGAACTCATCGACCTCGCCTTAAATTCAACTAACAAAGCATTCAGGAGAAATCAAACTATGCGGCTAAAGGCATGCAATTGTCCCTCAGAGGTAAAGAAGAAGAGTTATGGACCGACATGCTTCAGCTGTCGGTTTTCGTATGATTTTGACTTTGAGGATGAGGAATCGGAGAAGGGAGAGGACGAAAAAAATGGATTTGATGATGATGAAGGTGGCATTGTTGAGATGGGATCGAGCGACCGAGGTGGATATAGCTACATTGTCAGCAAACAAATGGTGGGGATATTTATCACCATTTGGGCGAAGAAAGAGCTTGTTAGACATATGAGTCATTTCCAGATCTGTAGTGTTGGCCGCGGGATTATGGGTCGGCTAGGTAACAAGGTAATCTATCCAGTTCATTTTATACTATTATTATTATTAATTCATATTTTTACTTTTGATAACTTTGAAATTATGATGCGAATTTTTTATGCAGGGTTGTATATCAGTGAGCATGTGCTTGCATCAGACAAGCTTCTGCTTCATCTGTTGTCATCTGGCTTCTGGAGAGAAGGAAGGGGATGAACTAAGAAGAAATTCTGATGTCATTAAGATATCAAAGAACACCTATTTTCGAAGAATTTGTGACAATCATCATCGAATTAATCCCAAAAAGATCGTAGATCATGAGTAAGCTTCTCTCTCTCTCTCTTCTGTTACATAACAGAAAAGTAGATATTTACATGTCTACCCAAAATTTGATAGGTTTTTATGTGATGTTATGAGTATTATGCATATAAATATAAAAAATTAGGCATCAGATATGTAAATCTATAAGAATTGTGTTGTATGTGTGTAGATTCCTCTAAAACATGAAGTCCATTCGGATGAAAATTATTATTATTAACTTTTTTTTTTGAAGATTTATGTACATTTGACTTAATGCTTTTGTATTTAAATATATAACACCTAAATTTCAATTTTTACATAGGTATGCCTCTTAATCTATTTTACTTTTTAAAACTTCAAATAGTGTTAAAAGGTTTAGGTTGTATACATGTAAAAAGTAGAGTTTAGGTGGTAGATATGCAAATCACAGGAATTGGGTGGTATGAATGTAAATATCTTTTTTTACTTTATTTTATTTAGAAAAAGCTGGTGATAAGCAATCATAATATAAAAAGAAATATATATATATATATAAACCCCAACCCAAATTAAACATTTGTAATTTACAAATAACTACAAGTATCTTTTAATTATTGCATGCATCAGCCGGGTGATATGGCTAGGAGATCTAAACTATAGAATTTCTCTGAGTTATTCGGAGACCAAGAGACATCTTGAGGAGAATAACTGGGATGCCCTACTTGAAAAGGATCAGGTAATTAATTTTCCAATATATTTTCCGCATGATTTATTTAATTTTGATAAGCACCTTTAAGAATTAAGAAAATTGATTAAATGACTGATGGCTATTTCTGCAGCTGAGAGTTGAAAGAGAATCAGGGAGAGTGTTCAAAGGTTGGAAGGAAGGGAAGATTTACTTTCCTCCTACATACAAATACTCCAACAATTCAGATTCATATTCTGGAGACAATGCGACATCTAAGAGTAAAAGAAGAACACCAGCTTGGTAATCAAGTAATTTCTTATAGGAAGATTTACATACATACCATAAATTTCTTATGTATTTATATATCTAACACCTAAACTTCAATTTTTTTATATCTTATGTATTTCACTTTTTAGAAGTTAGAAAGGGTAGAATTCAGTTGTTAGATATATATACATATATAGTATTGTGTTGTATGTATGCAAACACGCCTTTTTTATATATCTGAGTTATATTACCATTTTTCTTCTGCAAAACTTAATAATGCCAACCTTGGCTTTGTTAATAAGCTTTAAGAGAATTTACATGCATACGAGACAATTCTGATGTATTTACATATCTAACACATAAACTGTAATATTACCTTGTAAAAAATTGAAGTCTTTAACATTACATAAAAAATATCACTAAAATATTAATCTTTTTAAAGTAAAATATACATTTTCAAGCACAAGTTTTTATATGATTATGTCACCAAAGGGTTATAAATATAATTGTCAAACATTAGGTGTTAGATATGTAAATACATAAGAATTGTGGGGGTGATTCTTCTTATCCTCTTAATTTTGTTGATTTGTTAGGTGCGACCGGATACTATGGCACGGCAATGGGATTGTACAATTATTTTACATTCGGGGGGAGTCGAGGTTGTCAGATCATAGACCAGTCTTTGCAGGTTTCTCAGTGGATGTTGAAGTGCTTGATGATAGGTTCAGGAAGGAAATATCAGCAAGCAACATGAAAGTTGGGGTGGAAGAGCTACTTCCTTCATGATAGGATATATTTTTCCTAAAAGTTTTGTAAAAGTATAGATCAAAAGGCAAATTTAAATGTGTAGCACACAATTCTTATGTATTTACATCTCTCAAACCTAAACTTTAATATCTACAAGCATAGCACTCGGTGTTTTAAACCTATGAATGAAAATGTGTTATTTTTTATGTGATATTAAATACTCGAGTGTTATATATGTAAATATGAAAGTTTGGGTGATATATAAGAATTGTCTACTTTGTATTTAAATGCCCCAATATAAAAATGATGTTTATAGGTCATGAATTTGATGCATGCATGTAATTGACATATCAGTGTTTGGCTATACAAGCAGTTCAGTCTATTAACTTTTCATATGGTGACTTCATTCTTGGGTTTCATCTATGTTGCTGAGTTCAGCTCTGGGCTTAATTTCATATTGGATAATTCAAAACTGGGGCATTCGCATACATACCACCCAATCCTATGTATTTACATATCTAACACCTAAAATTTAATTTTTGACATTTACAACACCCAAATCTTCCATATAAAATTAAAAAAAAAACCACTATTTTATTTTTTAAATAGTGAAATACACCTTTTTAATGCATAGGACACAATAGAGAAAAAAGATTTATTGGATGTTGTTGTCGTCGTCGTCGTCGAAATACATCTTTTAATGCACAAGTAAGGTGTATGTATATAAAAATTGAGGTATATGTGCTAGATATGTAAATACATAAGAATCGAGTGGTATGTATCTAAATCAAACTTCGAAATTATGTTGGTGTAAAAATATCAAGTGATTTACCCTCACTAATCAAAGATGAGTACTAGTATGGATTTTTCTTGATGCGGCGAACTAGAATATGAAAAATATATGCACTTTTGTTGGCATAGTGGAGTAGAAGAGGTGTGTCCCAGCCGATGCATTTCATAGTTAATGATATCAATTCAGCTAAACACCAAAAAAATGAAAGTTAAATCCACCACTCGGTAATTAAAATTTCTCACATTCTGTCTCTATTTCTCGCCTTCAGTCTCTTTTACAACGTAAATATGGATTTATTAAATCTGATTGCGGGGCGGATTTAAGATTGTTGAGAAAATAGGGCGAGGAAAAATAAGAATCTACACAAATCCAGAAGAACACAAAAAGATTTAACGTGGTTCGACAAAGATGCCTACGTCATCGGGAGCAGAGCGGCGGCTTTTCACTAATTCAGAAAAAGTATAAAGTACAGAATTCAGGGATTCAGTTGCTAGAGAAGAGAATTGATATGTTGACCATGACATATGTTAACCAAGCCAGATCAGAGAATTGATTGCTTTTGGGGAGATGCTGTTGCAGAAGGTTCATACTGAAGAGAATGCAGCTGATATGTTGACCAAGTCAGTTACTATCAACAAGTTCTTGCATTGCTTGGACTTGTTGAACGTCTGCAGTTGCTAGAGAAGCATGGTGACCCAACTCACTTCTGGTATGAAAGGAACTCCATGACGTATTTCTCTTAAGAAGCTGGATATTCGCCAAGGTGGAGATTTGTTAGATATGACTCATATACCATAAATGGACAGTGCTAAATCAGGAGCGGAGCAGAGTGAAAGATTTTGTCCAAATCAAGGGAGCTTCCTTATGTCGGTTGGGGGTGTGGTACAAGGGTAATTTGGTAATTACATATTGTACACAAGGTTTCCTTTTTATGTACTTTCTAAGGTTATAAATTAGGCTTGTATGTAACCCTAGGGATTATCTCTCTGAATCCTCTATTATGTATTCTCTTTTCACAAAGACCATCTCCGTCTCACAAGATTTGATAAATATGGATTTACTGAATTTGATAAATCCTATTTAATGTTTGACAACTCAAAATAACAGAATGACGAAATCCTGATTGAATTATTCTTTTCCATTTCATAGTTCCTTACACCCTTAAAACTCTTTTGAACTCTTTCATTCCTCTTAAATATGCTTTAAGATCAAATATGTTGAACATAAGTCTAAATTTTTTTTATCAAAAGTACCCTTACATAACCATCATAATGTAATTAACCTTCCTTTTCCTAAAATATGTAAAATAAAATAAGTTAAAATGAAAATATAAAAGATAAATCTCTTTGTTGAAAATAAAAAAATTGGTTTAGATAGCTCTAGTTTTTTTTGACAAGTATACCCACCGGCCCCTCTTCTTCTTCCATAAATATTTTCTCCCTAGCCCCTCCTGCGCCATTGCCGAGTTCTTCATTCGGCAGCTCTCCCTCTAGTCATCAACTCATGGACGTAAAGAGAGCAACGACCGCCATACTAGCCCATGGAGTTCCCTTTAGGTCAATCTAATCACGCTCCAGTTCAATATAGTTCCTACTCAATGGCGATCGAGATGCATCAGCAAGACATAAACCTTAATTAATTCTTTCAATTTTATAAATTATCATACCACATAACAGATCCTCCTCAAATCTCCAAGGTATATAGAACATAAATTCCCTGATATTAAACATTCTTGAACGAACAGCCATTGTTTCCCTCCATTCGTTTTCATCTCAGCTCGGAAAGATCTCCCTATCCCACAGGACATATCAAGTAATACGACCCTGCACTCCTCATTTCTTCCCGATCTATCATTCTTACCAGTCTCCTATCAGCATTGTTTAATTTCTACAGTTTTCTTACTATTAAACTAAATCATGATAGTAGTAACCTGTAACCCCCATTTGGAGCATTGATTACCAACAATCGCAAGAACCAGGGACCGGGATGAGCTGATTAATAATCGAAAACGAAAATAACCAGTTCAAATGTACTCACCTTGACAGATCTGGATGGCTCTCTGCAGCTCGGCGTACTCCTTCTAAGAGCGCTCCTTGAGCATGAATTCCAAGAAGAGGGTAACGGAAAGTATACAAAAACAACAACAAACCTCCTTAAATGGCCGAGATCTTCGCACGATCAGGCGGATTCCCTCCTTCGGTGGACGATGCGCTGCCAGTCGACTCACGGCCGGAGCCGCTGCAACTGAAGTCGGAGCAGAAGGGTTGAGTGACGTTTGGCGCGGCAAGGGATAAATGTGGGCAACCAATTGCCATTTTATAGAACGGAAATTGCAAAGATACCCCCACAGTTTCTGTGCATTTTCAAATGCAAACCTAAAAAGTTAATATTTATACTTATAACATTTTTGTGCCAGCCAACAATAGACCAAGTGGTCATTTATCCAATTGAACGTAGCTATCGAGCCAAAGTCGAAAGTCGATTGAGTTGAGAAAAGAAGGATGAACGATCTGAATCCAAATCAATCTGACTATAGCAAGATAGATGGAGCATTGAAGCTAACCACTACAAGGAAATGACCAAAGGCAACAACTTGTCTTACGTTAAATTTGATCGGAGCAAAGACCCAATTCCTCAATATCACAAGCAGCCACATGGATCCCTCAAGGCTGCTTATCAGGGACCAAGAATTGACAATACCACAAAATCTTATAATTATCCCACAAGTTCTTTTTTTAGGAATAAGCTACATGACTTGTTATGATGATTCAACTCTTTTCCCGATAGTCTAGTCTCACTTCGCCAACAGGAACATTTCATTTCGTGATCGAGGCTCAACATACAGACAATTTCAACTAATTGGCAAAGCCAAGCAGATCGAATCAATCCTGGCAATCCAAAGCCAATTAATCTTGACTGGCCGGCAATGCTAACTTAGCTTATACGATCAAATTGGCCTTATTGAGCCAAAGCCATACTATTTCAGCCAATCGAGCCATAGGCTCATGTATCTAAAATACCTAAAATTGCTTGCACAACCCCATTAAAACAGGGGCAAAAATATAATATCTTAAATCTCTAAGAATTTGAAAAAAATCAATTTAATATGTTGATGAAATTTAGTAAACAAATGTAATATCTAAAATTTTTAAATAATCTGAGTTGTATATGTTGTGAATATTATCTTTCATATATAAAAACGGATCAAAAAATTAAAATATTATTTTATAATCTAATAAAATTTTGCAAATTAAAATAAATATATCACCAAATTAAAATTCAAATATTATCATCAAATAAATAATTAACTTTGATAATGCATACAGTTAAAAAGAGCATCTTAATAAGAAAACTCTAACAAGCTTAAGATCACTCAATTAAGAGACCCGAAAAACACTTATATTAAGAAAGAATAATGTTTATATTAAATAACTACTAAACATGAGTCCTCCCATAAAGTATTTTATAACTTTGGCTAAATTTATTAAAATATTATTATGAAAAAACTATAAATAAACTTCAATGTTTGATCATTTTTAATTAATCAATTTTGACCATCACCACCTTATAATCAAAGTTTGAAGGCTATGACCAATCAAAAGTAGGGGTGTAAATGAGCTGAATAAGAGCGAGTTTGGTCTCAACTCTTGTTCGGCTTGTTTATATTTCGAACACAAAAAATTTGTTTGTGTTCGGCTCATTTGGTTAGCAAGTCGAACACGAGCTACTCGTGAACAAAAAATCATTTTGACAACTCTAGTAATGCATTCAGACGTTAGGATTGTAATCGAGTCAGTTTGAGCTAGTCTAAACTCAGCTTGTTAAAAAATATCATTATTCATGTTTGGCTCATTCATATATTCAGTTCAAAAAATTTGTTTGTGTTTGACTCGCTTGCTTATCGAGCCGAACACAATGTATTCACAAACAATGAGTTATTTTAACGACTGTTCGGCTTGTTCGAAACTGCTCGTGTTCAAAATTGGCTCGTGAACAGTGTGTTCGTTTTGGGCTCGAAATTGGCTCGTTAAAATTAAATTGAATAAAATATGTAAAGTAGTTGATTTGACCAAATATATGCAAAAGAAGATACTAACCACATTACCACACGAGGTGTTATAATTTAAACTTAGATATAAATATATATAATATATTATTATATAAACAATATATGAAATATATTATTATATAAATAATTATATATTTATTTCGAGCTAAAACGAGCCGAACACGAGCGAACAAAGAGTTGTTTGTGTTTGGCTCATTTATAATTTGAGCTTGAAAAATTTGTTCTTGTTCGACTCGTTTACTTAACGAACGAGCCGAACAAGAGTTGTTCGCGAACAACAAGCTTTTTTGAAAGCCCTAGCCCGTAGGATGTTAAGGGTAGGGTGAGATTTAAATCTTGTTATTTATTATAAAGCATTCATTTAAATAGAATTTAATTTATTTTTACTCTAGTTCTAATTAGTAATTTTAATTGATTGTAAATGTTTGTATCCTTGTGGTCAATCAAACTATTTAAAAATAATACTAATTATCCATATATATTATAAATATGTATATAATTATGTTGAGCCAAAAAGAGTCGAACAAAACTTTGTTCGTGTTCAGCTCATTTGCTCAGCAAACTAATCGAACACGAACTATTTAATAAGTTGAACACTCGTTGTTTCCAAACAACGAGTCATTTTAACAACCCTAATCAAAACGAACCATTATAGTAATATATTCTTTAAAAGAAGTGAAGATTATTAATCTTAAAAATCATAAAATGTGCACAATTTGACTTCATTTTATATTGACAACTAATTAGCATTCCAAGATAAAAAATTATTGAATCTTTAAGATCATAAATTTAAAACTTATTGGTTATCATTCCTTAAATTAATTATGAATTTATATATTTTATTTTTCTAGAAATAAATTAAAAGATTTTAAAGGCCAGTCCAAGTTTTTCTTTTTTTTCTTTTTTTCTTTTTTACCAAGAATGTGTTTTAAATTATTAAATAAGATGATTTTTTTAGCTTAAATTTTTTAAGAATAATGTCTCATAAATTAATACTTATAATGAGGCTAGGACACTTAAAGATGAAATTTCAATTAGAAATCAGTCGCGCTTGATCAAATTAATTTTCATAAATTTATAACATTAAAAGGAGGGCAAGTTCAGGATGCAAAGGCGGGCAATTTTAAAACAAAGAGTCTGTTTGGGGCAGATGCAGCTTATCCCGACAAGCTGCTGATCTGCAGCTGATCCGGATAAGCTGGTTGACTATTCGGTTTATGCGTTTGGAAAATAGCTGAATTTGCAGTTATTTATGGTTAAATGATCATTCTACTACTGATCTAGATAAGCTGACTAGCTATTAACAAAAAAAACCAATATTCTTCTATTTTTTTTTTTATAAATATTATAACTTCTCTTATTAAATTAAACTTGGGTTCTGTTTAATTATATTAAAAAAAAAATCTTTAAACAACTTTTCAAAATAAATTGGGAACTGAAATTAACTATTAAGAGTCCGTTTGGGGCACCTTGTGCGTTTCAAGATAAGCTGTTTATCCTAAAATGCGGCCTGCGGGCCGACTGCAGAGGTCGACCCGCGGCCTCCGTTTAGGGTAAAAACTCAAACGCAGTTTCGTTTAAACTGGTGAAACGCGCGAACCAAACAGTACGGCGGTGTTTTGAAAACGTCACCCGCACTTATAAGCTGCCCCAAACGGACCCTAAGATTAATTTAAAAACGTGGGTTTATAATTTTCCTGGAAAATCTTATCTAAAACCCCTTTCCTCTTCCTGTAACTCCACTCAAATTCGTCAATCCCTATAAGTAATTAACAAAGCAAACCTTAGAGTTTAAGGACTTAAAAAAAAAAAACCCAAATGAACTCATCTCTCTAGCATATAAATTATTGCGTCAAAATTCATACCTAATTGGATCGAATCTGATTTCCACGCCATTGATCTTTTCTCCTTCGCGATCGGCCTTTTGGAATTAGGGTTGTAGAATTGTGGAACAATTCGTGTTCGATGAGCAAATGCCACGAATACGAACAATTTTTTTTTCGTTCAGTTTATAAACGAATCAAACACGAACAGTCATTTGCTCGATCGTGTTCGAATCGTTATTGTTCGAAATGTTAAAAAAATTAAAATAATCATAAATAAAAAAATTACCATATTTTTAAAATAATTATATAGTCTAAAAATTTATCATATTTTAAAAAATTACATCTCATAAATTATAATCTGATATTCAAGTTCGCATCTTAGCTTATATTAAATTCTATAATTGTGTATTTATCATCAGGTTTGTCTCCTAACTTAAATTATCTTATATTTCTTTTAGATTTCTTTAGTTTTTTTAAGTGAAACTTAGTTTTTGGAAGTGAAATCTAGCATATGGCCTCTAGATCTGAATTTTTTTATAAATAAGATATGACATTATGATTTTATTGTGAGTTTTGTTTCAACTATTTTTCATTTATGATGTGATTCATACAGGTTTAAGCATTAGTTTCATATAAGTTTAAGCTTCTAAAAGATTTCGAATAATTCGAACAATACAAACAAATTTGTAAGATTTTGACAATTCAAACAATTTGAATAATTTGAACAATTAGAATATTTCAAACATTTTGAACATATTTCAAGCAAATCAAATCGAATATGAACAGTAACTTCACAAACAATTTTAAACACGAGACTATTTCAAACACACGTAAGCTCTGTTCGTTCATGTTCGGTTTGTTTACACCACTACTTGGAATGTCTCGTTTGTGTCACTTGCCTACTCGCCCGTACTTGACTTCCCGTGTTTGATGTTGGGGTCACCCGCTCTCGCCTTCTACCTCTTGCACTCTCTCACGCTCGCTCACTCTGTATCTGTATATGTATTTCGAAAGAGGAAATCGAGCCCTAAATCGGTCGAGGGAGAGAGGCGCGGGCAAGAGAAATCGAGTGAGAGGGATGAGACAGACAACAGAAGGGTACAGGAGTAAAAAACTATTCGAACATACAAGGGCCGTGCGGTCAATTCCACGGCCCCGACTATTAAGGATTTAAAAACAATGTTTCACCACAATCTGTCCCAACGCACGAACCAAACAAGAAAACGGTATTTTCAAAATAACGCCAACACTTATAAGCTGCCCCTAACAGGCCCTATGGCATGCCTCTCAATTTCTATGGATTTACACATCTAACACCAAACCTTCAAATTTTACGTTGAAAGCATGAAAAGATACATTTCAATTTTTAAAAGCAGGAATAGCCCTTTTTTTTTTTTTTTTTTTTTTTTTTTTTTTTTATGGAGGGAAAAGTATTTGGTCCCCCGCAGGAAATAATCCGTTTTTTTTTTTTTTTTTTTTTTTTTTTTTTTTAATGTAGGATAAAGATTTAGGTCCCCAACGTTCCGAATGTGAACACGTACATGCATCGTACTTTATTATATAATAAAAGATATACAGAATTTAAATATTAAAAGTTAAGAAAAAGACATGAAAAAATATTAAATTTAATAACATTAATTTTAAAAAAAATAAAAAAAATAAAAAGTAATTATTTAAATGATGACAAAAAATAAGTACATATCATCAATTTATCACGTATTACAACAAGAACAACTTTCTATTACTAGACTATTCATTAAAAGGGATAAAAAATACAACTCTTTTAACACTAAATTTAAATTTTTTACATTTAAGAGGACTTCAACTTGACTAAAATGTTCGTCATGCTACAAAGTCGATCACTTGATCTCATTCGATGACACGAATTTTTGAATCCAACCATCATCATCCAACAATAGCGCCCTCAAACCCAACTCGATCCCACAACACGATCACATTCATTTAAATTTTTGCTAAGTAAACGAATATAAAGACACTTGCAAAATCCCCTCCCTCCTATAATCAAAAAGAAAAGAGTTTGAATCTTCCTCGAGCTTGCGTTTGTGGGCTCGAGGAAAATATACCTCCATACCATGCAATTCTTATGTATTTATATATCGAACACTCAAATCTTGATATTAATACTTATAAAATCTTTCTATCATAAACCCATCCATGAAAAAGATATATTTCACCACTAAAAAGATGATGATAATATTTTATGAAATGTAAGATTTCGAGTGATATGCATATAAATATATATATGAAGAATTGGGTTTGATGTATGCAAACACCCATTTATTTAATCATGAACATTTAATTTACTCGTTCAAACAAACACATATAGTTAATTACATCTCAATATTGATTCGAAGATAGCGGAGAGCGAAACACCACAGAGGGAATGAATCAACACAACGGAAATAGAGCACTTAGCACTCCATCCATATTATATTCATCTCAAAATAAATTTAATGATCATGAAAAGGATCGGAATACCTGACAGTAGAATGTATTTCATAAACAACTACCATGATTATTTGCAATCTAACCCATTTTTCAGGGAGCACTACAGATCAAATACCGCTACCGATTTATCGAATAAGTTGAACCTAAAGTCCATTACAAACGAATCGAGTTTTAGACGAGTCGAACGAAGAACAAACCCATGAACCCATACAAAACCACAAAATGGGTTTCACATCAAGTTCAATCAGAATATAATAGACAAATCAATTAATTGATATCAAAATGCAAGCTTAATGTATTGCATAACTAGCGTTAATAGTTGGTCATCAGCATTACCTACCTCCTTTACCACTGGGATGAGACCTCAAACGAAACCAGACATCTACTTATCTGTCTGCTCCACAGTCAGATAACCAGATGATCATAACTAGCGGAATAATATACTGCGAACCAAGCGGGTCGCATCCAAAATGCTTGCTTGTACCTGACCGGTGCTCAGCCGGAATGGACGGATGACGAAATCCCGCGGAGGATGGAGTCAACTCAGCACGGCTCAGAACTTTGTGTGGAAGTCTCCTATTTAGACTTTCCTATGCGAAGGGATTTCCAGATGCAGAGGAGCCTTGTGATGTTCTCTTCCTGTCATGGTAGAGGCAGAGCTTGAAAACATAGTAGAAAAGAGAAGGAAGATTTACATGCATACCAAACAATTTCCTATATATTTACACACTAACACCAAATGTTCAATTTTACATATATGCCACCTTCCTTAAAAAAATATGTATTTCATGCTTTTAAAGTTCAAATAGGTGTAATTTTGATGTGATATGAAAGATTTGAGTGGTAAAAAATGTTGCAAGGAAATCTAAAACATAAATTTCAATTTTTACAAACATAACCTTAACCATGCATGAATAGGTGCATTATGTATTTCAATTTTTAAAAGTTAAGATGGTATTTTTTATGTGATAAGGAAGACTTGGGTTGTATAAACAAAGTGAAGTTTAGGTGTTAGATATGCACAAAGTGAAGTTTAGGTGTTAGATATCTAAATACATAAAAATTTGGTGGTATGTATGTAAATGCCCCTAAAAGTAAAGTTTAGGTGTAAAATATATAAATATATAAGAATTGAGTGGTATAATACATAAATATATCAGAATATGTTGGTATGTATGTAAATGCCCCCCCCCCCCAAAAAAAGGAACTACTTACGGCAACTGCGAGCTTGGAACCTGTCCTCCCACGTATGGAAATCCGGCTGAATTTAAAGGAAAAAAAACATCAAATTATATGAGATGGGGGAAACAAATACCTTCTTTAGAAGTGCTTTTGATATAGAACTTGCCTTGGGGTATAGTAGGGCTGAATGTTGAAGCAGAATTATGTTGGAACCATGGCTGAGATAAACCTTCCAGATATGTGTTTGGCAACTGAGCATTTGGCAGCGCACCTTGCAAAGAACTCACGTCAAGGAACTGCGGGAAAAAAACATTAAACCGCAGTCAAGAATAATGGGGATGATCATTATCAAGTTAGCTTGGGAAAAAAAAAAAGTTGGCACATTTACACGCATAACAACCAATTCCTATACATTTACATATCCATCCACTAAACTTCAAAATCTTTCACATCATCGCAAAAAATACCACCATTTTAACTTTTGAAAGTGAAATACATTTTTTCATACATAGGTTATGTGGCATCTATTTAAAAGTTGAAGTTTAGGTATTCAGACAAGTAAATACATAGGAATTTATGACACAATTGTTTCTTAGCTGTAGCTCAAATGGAAAGATACTTCAAAATTCAGAATTTCTTTAGCTTTTTCACACATGCCCCATAAATAAAATAAACTATGAAGCTTGAAAGGTAATTTGAATGCAATGTAAATGGACATTAATCTTCTAAAGCAATTTTATGGGGCATTTATCTACATACCACACAATTCTTATGTATTTATTTATTTAACACCTAAACATTAATATTTATATGCATACCACTCGAGTCTTTAGCATCAACTAAAAAAATACCATCATCGCAACCTTTTTAAAAGTAAAATTACACCTTTAGATGTAAAGGTTTATAACACAGTATTATAAGTGCAAAATATCAAACTTGAGGTGTTAGATATGTAAATACATAAAAATTGTGTGGTACGTACGTAAATTTCCCCAATTTTACTATGAAAAATGCATGCCTAGACTTGAACACCGATTCATCTTGTGTTTCTAATGAACAATTACTTCATGCAAAGATTTATGACACTAAGGTGTTATAACTGTAAACATCAAACTTTGGGTGTTAGACAGGTAAATACATAAGATTTGTGAGACACATATATGAATTTCCCCAATTTTAATATTTAAAATGCATGGCTAGAACTGAACACCAATTCATCTTGTGTTTCTATGAATAATTACTTCATGCAAAGATTATTCATAACACCAAGGTGAAAGATTATTCATAACACCAAGGTGTTACAAATGTAAATATCAAATTTTGAGCGTTAGAAATGTAAATGCATAAGAATTGTGTGGCACGTGTGTAAATTTCCCCAATTTTAATATGTAAAATGCATGCCTACACCTGAACACCAATTCTCGTCTTCCTAACAGACAGTTCATTCACAAAGTTCTCATCAAGAGGCTTCTGCGACATCAATCTTTTATTACCATATATTTACATTAACAGAAGCAGGTCCTCAACAAACTTATCATCATTAGACATGCAAAAATAAAAAATTTGGGGCATGGCATCATAAATACCATATTGCTGGCTCCTGCATCCACATCGTAGGATATATCAAATGGATTTGTTGATTTCCATTCTTGAGTGCTACTTGTCTGAAAACAAACAAAGAATATACTTAGCCAAATTTCATGCATGTAAATATGAATTAATTTTACATGGTTCAAATAACTTATTTCAAACTTTGCAAGGTTGATGATATTCCAAAAGAATACAAACATGAGATGAAAACATCCACAAACTTGCATAACCAGACCATCCAATCAATATATTATATAATCTACTAGTGAACTGCCCTTAAAACTACCAAAAATATTTAATTTTTAAAGTAGTCTAATTCCATTCTAGCAAACTACCATTCAAATTCAAAAACTGAACTGCCCTTAACAGTCATCTACTCTAATTTATGGAAAGCAACCCAAAAAATTATTGTATGTTAAGTTGTGGTTTAAGTAAACAGCAGTGTTAAAAAAATAAATAAGAATTTGAAAAAATAAAAATAAAAATAAAATAAAAGATGAGCAAATAAATAAAAAAACATTAATTAAAAAATAACCTAAATTTTGTTTAGGCTCTACAAACAACCGTAAATTTTCGACGAAGTAGCAATCTTATTCCACATGAGGGATTCAAATTATCTCTTCAAAGGAACATGACAAGTCAAGATTTGATGATGTGACAATTCAAGCATAAAAGGTAATTAAAAGTCTGGATTGAATTTGTCTTAGTCATTCATAGGCCTATGTTTATCAAACTCCATTGAAATTATTTAATTCTTATCAGATGCCTTCACCTGTTTTTTCCTTTAACAAAAGTTGGAGAATTTTTCAGATGAGATGTGCCGTAAACCATATTGTATGACAAAAAACTAATTACTTTTGACGCAATGTTTGCAATTCCAGAAAATAATTGTTAGTTAATAAAATTTGAAATTTGCATATAAATACACTCTATTTTCAACAAAATAACTAGCAAAATATCATTTTCATTACATATATAGCAAGGATCCTGATAGACTACCGCAATATCATCAAGACCATAGATTATACAAGTATTAGAAGATATCAAGAGCATATTCAGTCTGTTACAAAGGACGTTAAATTTGTTATGATTCACATTATGATAATGCCTATCTTTTTCTCCACTTGTAATGATCAACAACATTAACACGTTTATTTAACTAATAAGTTGATTTAAATGATGTGTTTGCTAATGAAACACGAATCATTAAATTTGGATTAAAGTTGCTTATACTGCAATGGTATGCTTGACTCAAATTACATCAATATATGACTTTGATGAAGAAACATAAAAATTAATAGAAATATCTATGAACACAACATATACAGCAATCAATTTGAATAGGTTTAAACCTCAAGCAAAACTCAAGTTAGAACACTTAACATAGCTTTGTATAGTGATTCAGAAGATGTTATTCCTAGAAAAATTCATGCATTATTGTGTCAAAGTAATTTAATAGTCTTAGGAAAAGCACAAGAAAGGAAATAACTCCTTTACCATCATCAAACAATAAATAAGGCCCACATTAGAGCTCCATAAAGTTTGATGTATATGTTAAATATCTTACAACATCCACTACTCAATTCCTAAATGAATATAAAATAACAAAATATAGTAGACAAGTTAACAAACTTAACACAACATAATCACATAGCCATGAATGATCCTACAGACAAAAAAGTAATATATGAAAAATATTATGCCTTATCTGATATAACACATCAAGAAATTGACAATATTAAGAATGAAATTTTGCTATCACTTTTTTTGTGCCTAATATTGTATAAGCGATTTTGAACCTGAGCCTAAATAAGGGTATGAGTCTAGCATTGGATATTATACATCAAAAAATTGTATGTTAGAATAATATTTTAATGAAAGATTTTCATTTTCACCCTCATATACAAACTGAAATATTTTAACGATAATTGATCTGTAACCAACCGCTTAATATTATGATGTGACTCCACACTAACAGGCTGGAATGAATAGAAATTCATTTAGAAGGAACCCTAATAATCCATCAATGTAATTAAAATACTTTTAAGAAGTTATACTTGCTGCAAATGATTCTCTCCCTGATTTTGACTACATAAAATCATAAAACCTAAACCATTTCAATAGTTTAGATCATTTTGATGTCCCAAATCATAATCATGAATTATTAGATTGTATATCCTCTTGATTTGATAATAAAGTTTGTTGAATCAATTATGCGGAGACGAGTGGAGGTGACGTGAAAACTGAGATGGAGACTTCCCAAAGGTATATAAAGTAGAGGAGAGGATCCTGAGTCAGACAGGAATTGAGATTGAGAAGAAATATGAAGAAGGTTGTCAAAAAGAGGTGGAGCCTAAGTTATCTAATAGAGTTAATTCAGCAAACTCTTCTTATGAAAGTAATATTTTTCATGATCATGCCCATAACTTAATGACAATCGGAAGCTTCCTTCGTATAGTGTTTTAAGAGATTTTCAGAAGCTCTGATTGTAATGGCAACGAAGAAAGTGCATTGACTTTCATGATGAAGAACTGATGCCCATTCTTGAGAGCGGTTGACTAGCTGGACCAGATGAAGCACACTTCAACCTTCAGTAAGATAGAAAGGAAGTTTGCATTTCAATGTATTGTGTGTTATGAATGATATTTTCAGGCCATTCATAGTAGCGTTCGTGATAGTCTGTCTATCTGGATAATACTGTCATTTTAGTTGGGCGTCCGAGTAACAATGCATGTAGAAGGTGTTCAACCACCTAAAGCAACAATTATTCCTCAAACTAACGTATGAATTCATGGAAAAAAAGAACCTAATCAAGTTGGGCTTTGAGGTTATAAGGAATGAAGACCAAAAAGCCTCTCAGAGTCAAGATGAAGGCCTGTAGAAAGCCCAAAAAATTTCAAAGAAGATCCGGAAACTTCAATCCAAAGTACAGCCACATCAAAAAGATGAGATCGCTCTCCTAGAGTCAATGAAACCGACCCTGAGTAGATAAATTCAGAGGAGATATTGTGTCAATCTAAATCAATAAAGAGAGATTGAGGTTAGAGGTGAAAAATCAGAACCAACTAATCTATTCAAAATTCTACAATACCACCAATTGAACTTGTTTGCCTACATAGAGATACACTCAATGGTGAATGTGAAGATCTAAGGTCATTCAAGCCTTCAACACTTTACAAAGAAGTGCAAAAAGTCATACCCCTATTGACAACCTAGGTCGAGATGATCAACTGAACTAGAACTGGATTCAAGCCTTCAACGCTTTACAAAGAAGAGCAAAAAGTCATACCCCTTTTGACAACCTAGGTCGAGATGATCAACTGAACTAGAACTAGATCCTCTAGAAAGAACCACAACCCCCCACTGTGAGACAACAAAGTAATATACATAATAGACAAGGGTAATAGGAGTCAATGGAGAAGTGGTACACTCAAAAAAGATGAGGTAAGATGTTCTTTCTCCCACAAATTGATTAATAGGAATGACCGCCTCCTAAAGAGGAGCATATGAGCAAGAGGTCAGTTGAGTTAATAATGTGGGGGCCAATCGAGGTGATGTGGAAGCTGAGAAAAAGCACCGCCCCTAAGAGGAATTGGAATCAAGAAGAAACCGGGGAAGGGTCTCAAGGAATTCTTTAAATTTATGTGCTAAACACCGAGAACAAGCCACAATTAACTAAGTTTGCTTTTTGTATTACATTTCCTAAAATTTAAATAATTTTCATCTTAATTATTATATTTTTCACTTTTTTTTTAGGGTACACGGTGGAAAGCCACACAAGAATTTTTTTGGCTGGTGTAAGTAGACCACAATTCAAATGAATGTCTATTAGTTTGAAAGAAATTATGCAACGTTTAACATACATGCAAATCTAGACCATGCATACAATCAGGCTAGGTAGCTTCGCTTGCAGACCATCATGCCTGATTGGCATTCAATTCAGTCAAATTGATTGTATTGCGCTTAGTTGCTAAAATGGAAAGCAATAAAGTGTTTTTTGTATTACATTTGCTAATATTTTCATAATTTTCATCTTAATTATAATATTTTTCGGTCTTGTACCAAGGCGGAAAGCCATACAAGAATTTGTTTGGCTAGTGTAGGTAGACCATATTTAGATTAATGTGTATTAGTTTGGAAGAACTCATGCACAATAAACATACATGCAAATCTAGACCATATATACAACCAAGCTAGGCATCTTCGCTTGTAGACCATCATACCTGATTGGCAATCAACTCAGTCGATTTGACTGTATTACACTTAATTGGGTGGAATAAGATTAACCAACTTTGATTTATTTAGCCTCACATCAACAAAGTTTACTGGTTTAATAAATATTGCCTTTTGTGACAGCTTTGCATAACTTACAGATAGACAGGTTTTATTAACAATTGAACTCCCAAGGAGTCAGCATCAATCCCTTCTCAAGATGAAAGCAAGTGAACCAAATCGTGAAAGTTGTCAGCTATAATGGTTTATTGATGTTGTACCAACATAAAAATATGATCCTAACCCACAAAAAGTGAAATAGAAGATAACTCACTTCACCCTAATTGAATTATCTTTTCAGAATCCACCTTTTCCATACATTCTTTTTTAATACAATTTCACTTGGTCATTCGCAATAACTATTCAACAATCCTTAGTTCTCCATACATAGTTAGACAAAGATGGGAAAAAAGTAGCAGCTAAGGCTACCTTGCATAATATTTCACATTCCAAGTAATAGAGGAACGACTAACAGATACCAACCTCGACCAAAAACAAGTACTCTTTGAGTACAAGTACCAAGTACAAATTAAACCTCAAGAACTAGTGAGTTATCCGACCAATATATACTGAGGCAGTGTTCGTTAATCATAACTGATTAGAATTTAAATTACTTTCTTCAAACTAAAATAATATAATTTACAATTATAAAATTATTTTTATTTTAGACCCCCAAATATAACTTACATACATACTATTTACATGAATAATGTACTAAATATTTAATGCTTCCATGAATGTTAAAAAAAAAGTCTAAAAGAGTATATATCCATGTATGCATTTCCATGAAATGAATTTCAATACTTCCTATGTATAATAAAAGATTTACATACCTTGATTCTATTGTAATTAAAATCTAACATCTAAACTTCAACTTTCACATACATACCACCTTACCTAAGTATGAAAAGGTATATTTCACTTTCTATAAGTTAAAATGGTGATAGTTTTGATGTAATGCGAAAGATTTAGGTGGTATAAATGTAAAAATCAAAGAATAGGTGTTAGATATGTAAATGAATAGGAATTGGGTCCCTAAAAAAGTTTATAAAAGAAGTTCAAAAAACTAAACCAGGTTAACCACCGCAATTGGCAAAAGCAAATCCTCAACAGAGTCCAAAAATGAAATTGGCATCGATATTTTGGACCCCCTGAATAATGCAAAAAATGCAAAAGTAATCTCTATTTCTTCTAATTAAAAAAAAAGGAAGTTCCCAAACCTTCAAGCTGTATTGCACATTTCTAATTATTACAAAAAGAAGATAAGCATAATAAGATGATGCTCAGAACTAGAATATCAACTATTAGAAGTACTCAAATCATATACTTTGTAAGGAAGCGAATCAGAAGGCATTCTTTCAGAGGAATTTTTAATCGGATGATCTATTTTATCCAGCACAACAGGAAATTGTAAACCATTTTCATTTAGTACCCGCAAAACATCAACGATGCTTAGAATAAAAGCAATGGAAATTTACATAAATATCAAATAATTCTCAAGTATTTACAGATTTAACACCCAAAGTTTTATATTTATTTACACTTATAACACCTTGGTGACATAACCCTATGCATAAAAAGGTATATTTCACTATTAAAAGGTAATGATGACGGTAATTTTTATGTGATGTAAGAGATTTGAGTGGTATGCATGTAAATATGTATGTTTAGGTGTCAGTATGTAAATACTTAAAAATTGTGTGGTAAGTAAATGCCCCTAAAAGCAAATAATTTTTTGATTATCAAGCACATCACACAAGGAGGAACCATTGACAAGAAGAAAAATGCAAGATGGTACCTTTGGTAGCGCCACATCGCTATGCTGACCACCAAAGATGGAAGATTCATTTACCAAACCACAAGTCTCATGCAATGAATTCACATAAAAAGCTGGAGAACCTTTTTGAAACGAATCATCAAAAGCATTCCATACCTATAAAACAAATGGATTCATAAATTGGAGACATATTGCCTTACAGTCAATAAAAAAGATGTAGAAAGACAAACTTTATGTAAGATCACAGGAATAGTTGGTACCGGAGCACTGAAGGTTGCAGCATTTTGAACTTCGGTAAAACCTGCCTGCCATTGGTTTGTTGTGGCCGTAGCTTCCCCATCAAATGTGGATTTTTTAGCTGTGAATAATTGTGAGGTGTCATGTTTGGATGAGAATGGATCAATTATCTCAGTAGGCACTTTACTGGACGAAGGAATCCCAGAAGGAAGGGCTTTGTTTGCCTCAGAATTAGGTGCCGCTAGGTGAATTGTGTCAAACATGGCCCAACCATCATTTTGCGAACTAGGAATTGGTAATGGCTTATTTTCAGGAGGGTAACTGCAAGAATGCTTGTTTTCAAGGGGGTAACTGCAAGAAGGCTGATTACTGAAGTCCGCAAAAAGATCCACAGAAGTCTTTGAATCCTTTAGCTGTGTAAATTGTAGACTAAAAAGGTCAATCACGGCAGCTTGTGGTGGAGCTGATGTCTCTAATGAGGAACTTGTGGATTGATTGGGCTGCTTTATTACAGAAGCATCTTCAGGCCGAAGAACTGCATCAGATAAGGCGCCAGAATTGGCAGATTTTTTATGGAGTGATTTACCATCAAAGGACCCAAAGCTGCCTAGTGAAGCAGACCTCTGAAAAAGGAAGATTTTCATAAAATACATAATAGCCCACAGAAAGCTTCAACTGGACAAATGAAAAAAATAAGATCATACCACTTGGTTCCTATGTATTTACATATTAAACTTCAATTTTTACACACATACCGTATTACCTATGCATTAAAATGTGTATTTAACTTTTTAAAAGTTAAAATATTGGTATTTTTTATGTGATATGAAAGATTTGACTGGTGAAATGTGAAAAAGCAAACCTTGAGTGTATAGGAATTGAGTGGTACGTATGTAAATGCCACAAAATATAAATGAAATTAAGTTCAAAGAATCAGAAAAATCACAAAAATATAGGTGGTAAATTTTATCATTACTTATTAATATGTCTAAACATCTAGGCAAATATTGTATGAAAATAACCCTCTTACTTGTGTCGAATGCTCATTATATATTCTTGGTGACTGGTCAGTGGATCTAAAAGGATCGCCAGCACTAGATACAGAGTAGTCACTAATCCGCGAGCGTGAACTCTCATTAGCAAACTGATCCTCATACATATGTTCTCTAACTCGACCAGGACTGTCTAAGATGCTCGAGATATTCCCTTCATAGTGACCGTGATCTGAACCTGGCTTTCTAGTAAGCATGTTTCTTGGTTTTCCATACCGTCTATCTTCATACTGATTGTCATAAGGTGGACTCTGAGAAAAAGAATGATAGGAGCTGGCCCTCCTATGCTCTTCATGAGTCATGAAGCCCTGTTTAGAACATGATCAATAGTTTTATAAAAATAAATTAAAAAAAGGAATTAGTTTGCACAAATTATAAAACAAAAAACACATTTTGAAATGTATATGAATGAATTGAACTTTTGATGGAACCAAGAAACCAAAAAATATATATATATTTAAAAGGTCACCAGTGGATCCCTGGGAGGCTTATCAAAAGACCTTCCACCAACATACTTCTTTTCCACATAAACGCCTTTTATAAATTCCCTAATTTTGTCTGGATAACTGCAGTAGCAAGAATAGAATGTTAAACAAAGCTCGTAGGATAACTGCAGTAGCAAGATTAGGATGTCAAACAAAGCTCGTAGAATCACTACTGTGGTAAGAAATTGGGGCATTTACATACATACCACCCAATTCCTATGTATTATATCAAACACGTAAACCTTAATTTTTAAATTAATAACACCCAAATCTTTCATAAGACATAAAAAATAAACCATTTTAAGAAAGTGAAATAGATCTTAACATGCACGGGTAAGGTGGCATGCATGTAAAAATTGAAATTTAGCTAGCATTTGTGTAAATACATAGGAATTGTGTGGAATGTATGTAAATCATCCTAAAGTTTTGTGCTTTTCAACCTGCTATCAGGAAGTTTCATATTCTGCATATCCCAGTCCTTCAAGTACAGTTCTCTGGCACGCTGCAAAGCAATTATCTCGTTAGCAAAAAACCTAACGAAATTCATTTGCCATGAAACAGATGAAATTTAGACGAGTCAACTGCCTGATTGCCTCCATTTTGAAGAGCCTCCACCTCCTGTGCTGTAAATTTAGCCATGGACACAGACTTTACACGATGAGTAAATTCCCGGCTGCATTACAATAGAAAATTATCCAAAAAAACTTTACAAGAAATTCAATAGTAAACTAAAACTCATCAAAGATGACAATGGTTCCATTCAAGAAAGAAGCTAAATAATGCCCATTATGATTGAGTAATTGAAATAAAGTGAAGTTTTTATGGTTCTTCGACTCCCAACAGTAATTATAAAGCATAAAATATGCTTAGAGTAATGATTTAGTGGCCTATTTTTTAACCAGAAAACAAAAGTTAAAATCATGGAGCGTTTTTGTAAAGTTAAGAGTAAACTTGAGACCAAGAATAACTTCATAGGATAATAAAGCCATCCTTATTGAGGCATAAGGCATATAAGCATGAAGAACCCTACGTTCTCAAGAGTGGCAAGATAAAAACTTAGAATATTGCCAATATATGCATCTCAAATTAATTAGTGCCTAGTATATACTTTAATAGTACATAAAGTGAGGAACAATGCACCAAAAAATGCCTTTTACAATTAGTGGGTTCATTAGAAACTATTTCTTTACTTTCTTCAAATGGAGCATCTTCATAAAGTTGGAAAATAGGCTACATATAACCACTTGATATGCCCTTAATGCATGTATTGCCTACAGAGCATAGCAAAAATTGTTAATCCCAAGTGAAATTAAACCTTATGACTTCCCATCCTTCTCTTTCTTTCTTTTTTTTTTCTTCTCAAAAAGTGAATTTTCTTCTCAATCGCTCTCACTTTTCTACATTCGGCCTTTCAATGCAAGTTTTCATTATAGCAAATGACAATTTCTATAATTTTTTTTTTAGCTACAACCACCTTTTTTTTCTATTTTGGATTATATAATTTAAAAAAGCAATTGAGAGTAATTAATAAATATTAACTTAATTATTCACTAAATAAAAATATATAATTCAATTTGTTATCAATTGTACTTATGACTTTATCCATATAGAAAAAAAAAAATACCTAAATAAAAAAGAGAGTTGATTTCTATTCGAATATAAAAAATCAATCATCAAAAGTGATTAAATTTTAATTACATCATTATACACAAAAGGTCCAAATAAAATGCATTGCCTCTTCGTATCCTACTAGCTTATAGATCAGCCATAAGCTTACCTTTTTTCAAAAAGAGGAAAAGATGCTAGTACACTCTATCAACAACTTTATATTCACCTATGTAACACTCGTTTATATTCCTTTAGCTATATAAATAAACAAATTTGAATAAATATTTTTGAAGCTCGACATATAAAGGAAAGCTTGAACAGTGACCCATTCATTCATTCATATCAATAAAATACTCATTAAGAGGTAAATAGTATAGTTATCTAATGATGTTTTAGTTGCATATTTGATTGCTCATGCTTAACGTCTACACGACTTCTGCAACACAACTCAACAAATATGATGATAGAATGTGGATAATGTCATAAAGAATCGGCTCAAAAAAGCAATGGAAGCATGATTTAAAAAAAAAAAAGTCAAATCATCAAATATTTTGAAAAATTGAGTGCCTCAATGAGTCTAGAACAATGAGCTTGCACGTTTTGAGGGCATAAACATGCCTTGGATTATCAAATTTTGATGAAACTCATATTGACTTAGTTCATCTAAAATAGACATTCAATCACCCTGCTACCTGCCTATTAAATAACCCTGACATGAACATAAGATATTAAATAGTGCCTGTAATATATAAGGAACGATATCTGTAGTTACAATGCTAATATTAGTTTGGCCAAGTAATTTTCTCCTCATTCCCTTGCTCTGATTGTTAAACAACAAATAACTATTGTAGGTCAAACTAATAAGCAAAGCTTGTTATATAGTTATACTTCAAGCTATCATTAGTTAAAGATTATATACTCATATTCAACTTTTTGTGAAACTATATGGATCTCTCTTATGTGTCAGCATTAAGATATAAATGCTACTCCATATAAATAAACATCCATAGATCTTTAGGGAAGTAATAGAAAACGAATTGATTGGGGTAGTACATTCCAGAATTATGAATTATTTAGTAGAATTGTGTTCACATAAATAGAATACGTAATATGGTAAAAAACACATAATCTATATAAGATTTGAATTATAATACATATAACATGATACCGACCATATTCTACAATTCAATCAAGCCTTAGTTGCATATTCCATATATGCCTGACAAGTGTTCTGCATGACAACTCATATTTTCTAAGTTAGAGCGCTCCTTAAGACAGCTTTCTCATAGTTTGAGGTAGTTCATTGAAATGTTGCTCAACTTATTTCGTAGGCCAGTGATGCCATGGTACAAATATAAATTCTATCTAAATGTCATCTTCTCTTGTAGAGTATATAAATTCAAGAAATGGTTTGTGAATGTTTGACTCATTGCTTTATGGTTCACAATGTTCCAAACGATGAGAAATCTCTTGTGGTTAAAAAACCATTTTTGTATGATAAACAGTTCCGTGGGTTGACAAGCTTAAACTCCTGAACATTATGATAAGCACAAAAGGTACTGAATATTAGTGGTGTTGTGCTTGCATTACAAGCCTTTTATTAAGATTTGATACAGTTATTTTAAGATAATACAAAGTTTTTTGTGAATAGAGTTTTAGTATAAATATTCTTCTTAAACAAGACAGTCTTGGGAATGTCACCCTCGTCTTATATCTTACCTCTTGACAATCTCATCAAATTGTGTTTACAGTACGTTGTTGAATTCCACATTAAATATTTACATCAAGCACCTTTTTGAGTTTTTTCTTCTACCCTATGGACCACCATCCTGATGCGCATGCTAATTATGGTTATCAACAAGGTTTGTAATTGCAAACAATCCAATTTATTAATGAAATTTTACATAATAGTAGTCTTATTAACTCAAGAAGTGACACCTTGATTTTCACTATTGTGATTAGCCATTTGAAACAAGAACAATATTATTAATTTGACATACTTATAATTTTCTCGCACTTTTGAATTGAATATGTGAAATGGCTGTATTTCAATTATGTTGATGATTAATTTTATTGGATGTCAACGTTAATAGTCTCCATGATATAGTTTTGGTGGTTTATATATATTTTTGGACTAGCAAGTGATATAATGTTTCACTTAAAAATAAATAAAACAACCATGACAATAAAAAACCATGAAATATATTTGCATGATAATAAATATACAAATCGATAAAAACAATGTTTTCTTAAGCATGGGATCATGTTGATTTTGGATGAACGGGTTATGGCCTTTATTCCACTACCAATAGCAAACCCATTCTAACAAAGAAACAGAAGTCTAAGATGTCCTTTGACCAACTAAAATCAAATAAAACTTCGCCTGAGCATGCAAAAAATTTGGACACAATTAGCACGCCACTTTCACTCCTATACCCAATTTAAAACCAATTATCAGTATTTATTAATCCTAGTAATCATAAGGTCAAAATTTAACTGGGATTTAGGCTAAATCTTCACAAACAATTCTATAGTCATGAAAATCCCAAGCATCTTAACTCTAGTTTTCCCGGATTTAGTAAATCATGGGGGAAGTAGAATTTAAGAAATTAACAGTAAATATTTTCATTGTGCATTGCACTCTTATTTTAATTAAATCCTAAAACTTAAATTTATACATCAAACAGTTTACTAAGAATTAACGAAATTTAATATCTGCCATGCCAACAATTTTTTAAATTTAAAGCATCCAAGATTTAATAGATTTGGATGTAGAAGGTACACATGACCCTGCTTAGACTATATCTTACTTGTAGCTAAACACCCCTATAAGTCAATTCAAACGTAGGTAGAGCCTTTGCAGTCACACTTCATTCACCGGCACTATTTGCAATAGAAAAGATTAGCAAATCCATCTCACAAACAGCACATGTTTATATGTCAAACAGTTTACTAGGAATTAACGAAATTTAATATCTGCCATGCCAAACAATTTTTTAAATTTGAAGCATCCAAGATTTAATAGAATTGGATGTAGAAGGTACACATGACCCTGCTTAGACTATATCTTACTTGTAGCTAAACACCCCTATAAGTCAATTCAAACGTAGGTAGAGCCTTTCCAGTCTCACCAGCACTATTTGCAATAGAAAAGATTAGCAAATCCATCTCACAAACAGCACATGTTGCACAATGTTGAGCAAAATGGACTGCATTCGAGCAGCCAAATAAAAATTCAGCTTCTTAACAAAGATTCTATACCCCAGGAAGTACTTGAGAAAACAATCGTCCTTAACAATGGTATAATTTTCATTTTAAAGCAACAAAGTTATATTAATGAAAAACAAAGAAAATTCATAGAAGGCTTGAATTTTCAACTAGTTTTTTTTTTAAATGAACCAGGGTTACAAACACTCACTGTATCCCGCTGCATGCTATGCATACAAAAGTCCAAAAGTTTGTACAAACGTACTGAGGACCCTGTGAACATCAAAAATAAGACAAAAATCAGTTCTCAAAAAAATGCGTGAAACAATGAGTGCTAGAAAAATCGAATAAAATGCCAAATCAAATGAGAAGCATAATACCAATGCATTGCAGTTGATACATCTACGATTCGGAGGGAGCTTCATCAGACCCCTAATAACCTTCTCATTCCTCTCCTCCTCTTTCCTGCTACTCATCCTCTCCGGACGCAAAAAACACAAAATCCTTCCACGAGAACCAGCCTTCAAAACCTAGAATGCACTTGGAATCGAAAACCTATGCATCAAGTCCAAACAAATTCCCTCAAGCTCTCTTCGAGACGATCAAAATCACCTGCCCTGATCCACGACCTAAGAGGAACTTTATAACCGTCCACAGCTCCGACCCTTCGGCTTCCCCTCTGCCACCGCACTAGGGTTTCATTCAGCCGATCAGACACCAGTCCGCTAAATTTACCGGGGGCGTGATTCGAGCCTAGGGTTTACCGGCGGCGATCGAGAGCTCCGTTGCTTCAAATTTGAAGCCACCTTCGAAACCTCCCTCCTCCTTTTCTTCTCAACAACGTGAGCTCCGAGAGAGAGAGAGAGAGAACGGGGGGAACGTTTAATTTGGAGATATTTAGAACAGAAATGCGTTGAGTGTCTGGGGCCCACTTTGATATGTACTGTGGCCCGTTATGTGGCGGCAATGCGAGCTGGTGCTTGGGCAAATGGCTACATAATAGGCTACATGGTGATGGGCGGTGCTCTCCAGGTTGGCCTGTCAGGCTTTACGTTGGCTGGCAAGAGGAGTTTTTAGAACAAAACTACTTCATTTTGAATAAATAAAATTTATTTTTTATTTACGAAATTTTTAAATAATTAATATTATTTTAAAGCATTTACATGCATGCTTATATATGAAAATCTAAGTTTTTTTTTTATTATATCAAAAATATCATAATAATAATTACTTAAAAAATGAAAAATATATAAAGTTATTATTTAAAGTTTTATTATTATTATTTTTGCATTCTCACAAAATTTAACGTGCATGAATAACATAAAAGTAGTAAGAGGAGCTACTAAAATTTAAGTACATTAGTTCACACTTCTGTTGAAATAAAATAAGTATAAAATTACAAATGCTAAATGAATTAGTTGTAAATGTTGTATAGTAAAAAAATATAAAATTATATGTGCACATTTGGCTTTAATAATTGTAATTGAGCTACAACAAATATAGTTCTTTGTCATAATAGTGATAGCAAGCCTCAAAGGCTGGAGTTAACTGCACTAAATGAATTAGTTAGTTGTAAATGTGGTGGTCGGTGGTTGTAATTGCGTCAATTAGCCGTACTTTGCGACTATAATAACATCAGTTGATTGTGGAGGTCGTATTTGAAAGTTATAGTGACTAGTAACAGTTAACCACAGTTGCGGTTGGTCGCATGCTTTGTTGTTGGTAGCTTCAATAACATTAGTTGAACGTATAAGCTATAATGGGAAGCTGTAGTTGCTAGTTACAGGATCATTAGTTGACCGCATAAGCCATTGTAGAAAGTTGCATAAGTGAATGGTCATATAGGTCGTACTTGGTTAATGCAAGAGAGTTAGTTGGCCATAGAAATCGCAATGGGAATCTGCAATATAAATTGATCGCATATATCATAGTTGGTCACATTTGTCGTAATTGAACACTATCGTAGTGATTAATTAGATAGGTTTTGATTGGTCGTTGCAGTAGCGTTGGTGGGTCAGAGAGATTGTCGTAGTTTGTAGTTATGAAGCGTTAGTTAGCCACATAGTTCATAATCGAATGTCACAATGACAACAATTGAACCTAACAGTCACGAAGTGAAGCTATGATAGTAAATGACTACATAAGTCATAGTGGGTCGTCACAAGACGTTTGTTGGGCACAAGGACAACAGTCGAAGGTTGTTATTACTACAATTAATCATATAGGTTGCAGTGGATAATTACAATAGTAACTCGCGACAAAAGGTTGTTGTAGGTAGTTGCAAGGGCATCAGTTAACCGCAAATGTTTTAGTTGGAAATTGTAATAATGGTGACCCATATAAGTCATGGTCTGCATTGCACCAGCCAGTACTTGCATCCATTCTCTCAGATGTACTGTTTTTTTATCAGAGACATCACTTATCAATATACATTAAAATTAGAAAACTTCAAGAGCAAGGAGAAAGTTGTTGTATTATGAATACAACAGTTGTAAGCAGTTCATTAGATCTTCAAATGTCGTGTTTAAGATATGTCATTGCACAGTACTCAGATTACTTTGTTACACCATGTTTGTGGTATTTTGGTACAGCCTATTCGAGGTACCTCATTACCTCATATTCGATGTACTTTGTTACATCACATTCATAGTACTTTGTTGCATCGTATTCAAGTCACTTTGTTACACCATGTGATTCACCCACGATTATGAGAAGAGAGCGTCAAGTGATGGCGAACCGCATTTGATCACTTCAAGAGCATTAGTTAGCTACAAATATTTTATTTTGAAGCTGTAATAACAGTAAGCGATATAGGTCGTAGCTAGGAATGACAAAAAAACTTGTTGCTTGTGAGCAAATCGTGTTGTTAAAAAGTTCGTGTTCGATTCGTTCGATAAATAAACGAGACGAACACAAATATTTTTTTTTTTATTTATAAATGAACCAAACAGAAACAACTATATGTTTGATGTTTTAAAATCATTATTGTTAGAATTTAAAAATTATTTAAAATAATTATACATAAAAAATTATCATATTTTAAAAATAATTATATACTCTAAAAACTTATAATATTTAAAAAAAATAAAAACTTATAATATTTAAAAAAAATTAATCTAATAAAGTCTATTATATAATAAGTTATTAATAATAATATATTAATATTATATATTTATATAATATAACTTATATAATTAATATAATAAACTATAACCCTAAGCCGCTTGCTGCAACCAGCTTCCCCTTCCCTCTCGAAGCTTTCGGGTTCGGCCGCCTCCCATTCCCAGTCTTCTCCTTCTCCTCGTCTTCTCAAAGTGCCGCGAGAGATTAGGGTATGTCGTCTGTGTTTTTTCTCTAATCTCTACTTCTCCGTGCCTTCGATACGTCGGCGTCGGATGGATTGCTCGGCGTTCTTTGCTGGCGCATTCTTGCTTGGCTGCTTGTAAGTCTGCCGAGGTGTCATCTCTCATTATCTTTTCTTTAATGCAGCCGCGCCCCCTCGCTCGAGCTCTGTCTCTCTAGTTTCGCAGTTCATCGGATGGCGAAGGGAGCCGCCCAAAAACCCTCGGAGGGAACACGACATTCTTCACCTGCCATGGATCTGAAAGCTCGAATCCATGAGCACTCCCTCTTCTTCGATCGTCTCGTCGATTTGATCCCTGCCCGCTTCTACGTTCCCGTTCCCGACGCCGATGAACGGCCGTGGTTCCATGGCCTCAGCAAGTCCGCGAAGGCCAGCGCGAAGAAAGAGTCTCGCGAGAACATCAAGAAAGCTCGCCGTGCCCGCTATGACCCCGAGAGAGCCGCATCCACGCTCGACCTACTGAAAAAGAATATTGATGACGAGAAGAAATCGTTTGCTTCTTTAGATGAAGAAAAACCTAACTCTGACGGCGACAGTGGGAGCGATCGGGAGGCGGAGGTGGAGGATCCTCACCCTGTCGTTTCCAGCGATCGGCCAGTCACTTACGAGGAACTCCGTCGCCGTCTCCATCGACGGATCGAAGAACTCCGTGGAAATCGCAACACTAGGACCGTGGATAAGGATGAGAGGAGAGAGAAGAAGAAAAAGAATAAAATGCAGACTAGAAAGGGTGAAGATGTTTCTCAACGGAAGAGGAAGAGAGATGAAGAGTCTAATAATGATGGCCATGATGCTGTTAAGAGAAAAGAGGAGAACAAGAGGGTGAAGTTTGATGATATCTCTTATGGCCGGGTAAAATTAGGGGGGGTGGAGGAGAGGGGAAGGAAAAAAAGAAAGTTTTCGAAACATCAGGAGCTTGAAAAAGCTAAAAAATTGGAGGATGCAAAGAAGGATCCTGAAAAAGGGAAGGTAGTTGCTGAGAAACATTCATGGAAGACAGCCATGAGTCGAGCTGTGGGAGAGAAGGTTCACGATGACTCTAAAGTGCTGCGGCAGAGCTTGAAGAAGGAACAGAAGAGGCATCAAAAGCATGCTGAAAAGTGGAAGGAAAGAATTGAGAGCCAGATTAAAGTCAGGGAAGAGAAGCAGAAAACTAGGACTGAGAATATAAGGGAGAGGATACAACAGAAAAAGAAGAGGAGGATTGAGAAGAGGGAGAAGAAGCTCATGCGTCCAGGATTTGAGGGCCGCAAGGATGGGTATATCAATCAATGAGTGAGGTATGTTATTCCTTTGCATTCTGTTTTGTAAGATTGTTTAAGCTTAATATGCAACATTTGGTTAGAGAATATCTGACAATCATATATAGGTATTTTGCAGGTGCGCAGTTTCTTATTTTAAAAACTATGTTTTTTTTAATGCATAAAATGGTTCCCAAAATGAACATTGAAAGGATATTTGTCCTCAGTACCCAAATCTTAATGTATAAAGTGCATGTCTGTAACTTAGTATTCTCATTTTTTTTAAGGTGATGTAGGAGAAAGGTTAAACAGAGAATAACAGCATAAAATACTTGGTTAAACCGTATTATCTTTGATTTCAAAAAAGAGCCATTTGAGGTTCAAACAGGTGCTGAAAATAACAATATCAAACAGTAACAAAGCAAAGAAGATGGGGTTAGTAAAGTTGAAAAGAGCGAAATTCAATCCCCTGGCACATTTCTATACATTTCTTTTAAAAAGCTACCAGATTTTCTTTAGTGTCATTTATACGATTAGTGAAATTTACATACAATCCCACACAATTCTTATGTATTTGCACATCAAACAACTAAATTTTGATATTGACATTTAAGACACTTAGGTGTCATCAACCTACATATGAAAATGTGTATTTCACTTTCATAAAGCTAATAATAGTGGTTAGTTTCATGTAAAATTAAAGGTTTGAGGGATGATATGCAAGTGAATATGAAAGTTTAGGCTTTAGATATGTAAACACATGAAAATTATGTGGTATGCATGCAAACGCCCCTTGATATTATTGAAATAAGTTTCAGAAGTGGTTGCATAGATGCAGACTATGAAATTGAGATTCCTTGGTAATATTTAATTCTTATAACATAAGTATTCGTCGCGTAATTTCTAGACACCATGAATTCTAATTATTTCATTAGTTGTGTTTCTATCGATATGCACCTAAATTTTATATTAGCATCATTCTAAGAAAATGTACTTATCATGAAAATATTTGTCAAATTTTTCTAGTGGCACAAACGTGCAAGCACATATTTATGGATTAGTAAAAAATTAAATAAAGCTACCGGATTCCCTTAAAGTTGGGTTCATCAAACTTCCCAGAGTTAGCTAAATGGGTTAGCTGATACAATAGCTGTCAAAGGTAAATAAAATTAATTTGGCTAAACAGATTAAGGACCTATTGAAGTTAATAAAGCCATACTTATTGAAATTAAGACAAAGTAATTTCACTAGATGACTGACCCGGATCAAGCAATTGATCTTACATATATTTTACATTAAATTTTGGTACTTCTCCAAGTTTTAAATCAGTCTACAGCTAGTTGTGATTGGTGCAGCTTTTGCAATGTATAATTTTGTGAGTTTGTACAGATATTCTTGGCATGTATTTTATTTATGCTGGATTTAGTAGCTCTGTCAGTATCACGCCCGTTTGTTTGCCGAGATTCACAATTGAGTTTGTACAAAATTGAGTCTTTTTGTACATGAGGAGATGTTTGTTTGCCGAGATTCACAATCAAAAAGCAAAAATCATTAAAATACATGCTAGAAAGTAATTCTCTTCTTATTTAGATGAATGCAATGAGCATAATGCATAAGCACACGTAAGCATTAAATTTCTAGTAAATGAGTTTCCAACTCATGCATACATAAAGCTTTTAGTCATCTGCAACAAACAACCTTGCATTAACTCGACCTAAAAACATGTCCTTAAAACGAGGATAGATAGGCTAACGACTTACCTTCACACCTGCAGAGAGGTTGTAAGATCCAGGATCAATTTGGTTTTCTTGCAGGGTGAGGTTTCAAGGACAATAATATAGCCCATCTTGTCTATACTACATGAACATTAGATATATCATCTTAGATCATTCTAAACTTAGAATAAATTGACTTGCATTGGATTCCCCTTAAACCTAAGATTGCAAGTCAGGTTTATTAGGCATGTTTGATGAGTGCGGGTTCAAATGCTAATGCCCATACCAAAAATTCAAAAAGATAAGTCAATCCAACTCTTACTAACAATGCGTTTCGGAAAGCAGTTGTGAAGTTGCTTCCTAACTGTCAAAAAGCTGCTGCTGGAATAACAATCAGTATGTTTGGACAATCTAATGTGCTGCAGTTTTTGATAAAAAAGATTCGCCTTTATAGATGAAAATTAGTTGAATGAGTGTAATTTTCAAAATATTTATAGTGGAACAACATAAACAGTTTCAACAGTACAAAAAATACATCAGGAGCCTAATTTCTCAAACACATCAATTTTAAGACCATTTTATGCATAATATCACAATCATAAATACTACAAAAATAACAAGTAATGTTATAATGACATTCACTTTCATTTCAAGACGATCGAGTCTTTGGGATAACTTGTTGTTTATAGCATCTCTCTTAACTTGGCCAATAAATGGAGTGAACTATTCCATATCATCAACCAATCAAAACAACATTTCATATTCATATGTCCTATATTTGGGACAACATTAAAATCTTCTCATAGTTGTATTCTGTTCTTGATGTGTATTCACAACATTGCATACAACAATGACAATACATAACTCTTGAAGCATTCGACAACCTTGAACTCATTTTTCCTGAGATTTTAATATAATATGCTTTTAATCCACAAATTAGACTACAAATACAATAGAATAACAAAAAATATTATGGTTAATAATAATAATGATAATAATAAAGCACAGGGAAAAATATACATCTCTAAAGGTATAACATTAAAAATTAAAATCTCAAAACCTTTGAAGAGAAAATAGACATCAATCAATCCTTAATTTATCTCAAATAGTAGACATCAGCACAGAAGACCCTGTAAGATATTAATTACATATACTCAATGAATTCACTAAAGCATATGTGATTTCTCCACTCGACTTGATTATCTCCTCAACACACTCTCCATCAGATATGTTGAAGTCATTGGCATCAAAGTTTTCCTCAAGCAATGATTGTCCTGTTCGATGTTCGAATGCTTCTATAGGCATGTATGTTAGATCTTCATCTAAGACCTTGAAATCAACATTCTTCGTATAAAATTATATAGAATTGTCGTTTTAACTACTATTTTTATTTATTTTTCTAAAGAATATGTCAATATATCTCAGAGTATGACCCACCCTCTCTGCAAACAATTCCAACAATTCGAACAATACAAACAATTCGAACATTTCAAATAATTTGAATTAATTTTAAACAACATAACACGAACTGTAATTTCACGAATAATTTTGAATACGAGCCTATTTCAAACACACATAATTTCAATCGAACCAAATTTAAACATGAGCTCTGTTTGTTCATGTTCGGTTCGTTACACCCCTCGTAGCTAGTGTTACACCAATTGGTAGTCACATCCATTCTCTCTGGTTTTTTATTTTACATCAGAGACATCACATGTCGGCACACCTTGCAAGGAGAAAGCATCAAAAATATGGAGAAATTCAATGTATTCTAAATATGGTGCTTGTAAGCAGTTATCGTCAGATCTTCAGCATGTCATGTTTGGGATACATCATTGCAACATACTCAGGGTAATTTGTTATACCATGTTTGTAGTACTTTGTTACGTCGTGTTTGGGGTACTTCATTACGCCGAATTTAATGTGTTTTGTTGCATCGTATTCAGAGTACTTTGTTACACAACGTTTGAGGTATTTCGTTATACCACAATTTTCACGGACGACTGTGAGCAAGGGGTGTCCATTGATGGCGAACCGCAACTGACAAGAGGAGTTTGATGTTAGTTTGCAGCTATGGAACCACAACTGACAAGAGGGCTTCAGTCCATAACAACACTAAAATCAGGTCTTTCTTCGCCTCCTCTCGAATGAAAAACTTAAGTGAAGAGAAAGGGTATAATTATAACCCCCATGTCAGAGGTATTTCCATCATTCAGTGGATAACTCTCATAATCATCTGATCGGATGACCCACACTGAACTCTCTCAATCATAAATGATTTTTTGATAATATGATGGCCTCAATGATCTTGAAATCCGGCGATCTTTGGCTCGTTGAAATCCTATCATCAAGATGCTCGATTTGACGATATATATGTCAAATATGGAGTTCATTTGACCCTACAACTAACCACCAAACAACCTGCCAAGGTGGTTCAATTGGCTTGATCCGGCTCTGAGCAGACTCGGATTTTACCTATTTTGTTGTCAAGCCAACAAGTTTGACTATAAGATTGTTGAAATCGTCAGGGCTCTCGATATTTTTAATTTAAATAAGAATATTTTTTAATTAAAAAATGTCTTGATATTCATGCCAAATAATGAAATTATTTGAGGACGCATCAATAAAAAATTATGACATCTATATATATATA